ATAAAGGGGTCCTATTATGTTTACTCAATCCAGGGGCCATAGTCTGTCTGAATCCCCATAAATCAAAAGCATAGGTAATCCAGAATCAATCTCTAAAGACTTTGAGCTTATTTATGAGAAGCAACTATGCCTCCAAGTCTTGGGTGTTTAAACAATGACTTTTCTCATCAGATTCTGCTATTGTTAGCAGGGAAAGCATATTCATCTTTGAAACTTTCCAGCTCCAATGGTGATATTTGTCTGTTTATTTTCTTTACATAAATAAATAAACAGAGGGGAGATAAGGAGGGAATTAGGGTCCAATAAATAGAAATACTCTTTTGTGGTATGTATTCTTTGACAGAGCTTTAGCTTCTCTATTTTTGCTTCATATGTAGTTATATACAGTAGTTGTATATATATATATAACTGGCTATATGTAGTTGGTTATATGTGGTTAAGACCAGAAGATGAGGCAAAGTAGAAACATAGGTAATCATCTGATTTCCTTTCTGACTTTGTCCCTAGAAAATTAACATATTTGCTTGATGTTGAGTGTGAGTAACTTTATATGAACAGGTGAAGTCAAATTTTATAGTCTCAGATAATAATATTTTGTGTGGTGCTAGTAGCTTTTAAAATACAGTTAAGTATATTTTATATTACAGCTTTTCCCACACCGTCTGTTAAAAGTAAATTCATGGTGAGTCTTGGCAAATTTTGTCTTTTATTTTATGCCTGCAGGAGTATAAATGATAAAAAGTTTTAAAATAGGAAATCCAGAGATTTTTCAGTATTCCCTTCTCAGGGATCTATCTCAAAGGGATCCATCGGCAAATTCATATAGTATTACGGTAATAGAGGGGCCAATATCTTCCTGACTGCCTGCTTTCTCTCCTGATACAAAGAGTGAATCACAAGATTTCTGGAGATGAAATGATGACAGATGTTACCAAAATGTCCCTATATTTGTTATAAATTAGTTCTTTTATACACACAGATGTGAAAGATAGCAGAAACACTTCTTTTATTTGGGAGGGAGCTCAAGGTGGCTGAAATTCAGTCATTATCCAAGTCCAAGCTAAGAATTGGGCAGCATTTTTCAAATTCCAGAAGGAATCACTGGGAGGAGGGAGTGGAGAACTGGCCAGGAGGGTGAGAATTGTAACTTGGGGGAGGGGAAGAGAAAGGCCAGCTTTTTGTACCCTCTTCTTCTATAGGAAAAAAGAGCAGCCAGCAGAAACTAGATGAGGATCAACATGGGGTGAGGGTGGAGGGCTAGCAACTGCTGAGACAGTCAATAGGCAGATTGTTCATCACACATTGCCAGAAGATTAGCTGAGCAAATGCACAGACAATGCTGATTAGCGACTTGAAATGCATCAGTTCTTACTGGGGAGAACAAAGACGGTCCAGATCGCTGCCCTACAGCCTAAGTGCAATAATGGAACCCAGCTATGCTCAACATAATGTTTAGAGCTGAGAAATGTGAGCAATGTGTCCCTCTGTTTGTATTCACTAAATTTCTCCCATCTCTGGAATGCCCTCAAGAGATACATATCTTATTTCTACCATGTTCTCAGGGGGCGGGAGTTTTATAATCACACTCCCACATATTTCAGCCCCTTGTGGGTTGTGCATTTCTTTCCACGTAATCTGAGAAGGCAGATATCATTAAATTGCCACAATTTGTCCTCTCTATTTTATACTGACCTTGCAAACACAGGTGATCATGTAGGGAAAACATTTTTAATTACTCTCAAATTTATTATTTACTTACATAAAGAACTGGTACCAGCAGTTACAACAATATTAGCATATTTTAAAGTTATAAAATAAAGTAGAAAACATTTGCCTTTTCTCCATTCTATGAACATGTTTCAGACCAAGCCTATGTATTATTTGTTCTATCTTGATCTCCTTTCTTATTATGAGTCCAGAGACTTCTAGCACTTTTATTTCATCCCCATCCTTGTGAGTTTTGGTTTGGGCATCTAGAAAATACAACATGACCTTGGGCTGGCCCTAATTTTAAGATGCTAGGAATTTGTGTAGAACAGTTTTTACTTCATACACTATTACTGTGCCCATCAAATGCAGCCTTTTCGTATGACTGGTATGATAATTAAACTTAATAATAGCATCTCCCTATACCATTTCTGTACATCTATAAAAATAAACCTTAGTGTTATATATAGATTTGCATTGTTCCTTATTAGAAGCCTTTCTCTCCCCTAGATAACACAGCTTTATTTTAGTCATAATGCTCTTAAGAGGATTCATCTAAGAGAAAAGCCCTGGAAGGCCAATGTATCTTTCATAGGACTCATTGATGTTTTATACCTGATTGGGTTTGCAGTTTCTCTCTCTCTCTTTTGTTCTTTCTTTGTATTTTTAATGCTCAATCCTCTCTTACTTTTCTTATTCACTTAATAACACCTGATTAAGTTCTACAGTCTCTAAATTAGGCAAACAATGAACAAAACTTTAGAATATTTTATAGCAATAATATTTTCTTTCTTATTTCTTGACAGCTAACCATGCCACAGTTAAATATTAAACATATTAGAAGGGATTGTTTGCAACAAAAATAAGAGACAGCAGGTTGTTTACAATAATATAGACAGAACTCTCACAAATAAATATTTTAGAAAAAACATGCTCCCCAAAATTACATTGGCAAAAGCAGGCAATTGCCAGTAATAAACAATTCAGAGATGAAATACAATAGCCAACAAACATATAAAAAGTTCACACTCTTATTGATAACCTTTGTTAAATACAGACTGAAAATCAATCATCAAGTTGACAAAAATGTTAAAAGATGGATAATAACCAGCGTTGGCAAAGATACAGAGAAGAGAGTAGTAATGTAATTTGATAGTGCTTTGATTTTATGTAACGACAATATCTATCAAAATGTAAAATTGTATACTCTTTCATCCATTAATACTATTTTCAGAAAGTCATTCTACTCAAAATTCACGTGTGAGCATCAATAGTTTTTCCCCCCTCTTTAAAGAATGTCTGTAGAGAAGCAGTTAACAGTTGTAACTGATGTTACATTCACAACATGGAATGTTATGTCGGTGTTGACAAGAATGATGTCCTAACAATGATGCAATGTGTTGAATCTCAGAATGAAAAAAAAATGAGTCTCAGCATAAACGTTGAATAATCTCATATATGCAAAAGAAAAGGAAAAATATCTCTCTCTCCATATGTGTGAAACTAAAACAAATATCTGGAATGGTAACATGAAATTATCACCCAATTAACCCTGGGAGAGTAAAAGGATTGTAGCAGAGGAAGATGAGCAAGGAATTACTAAATTGTTCTAGATTTTTACATTTACGTTGTGTTCTGATAACGCTAATCAATAAAATGAACACACTTCAAGTTTATTGATTAGTTCAAAATTAAGCTAATAAATATGTTAATTAATAGAGGTCTGCAGAAAATATGTCCCAATGAATAATTAAGAACAGGTGGTATTTGTGAAAAGATTGTCATATAAAGTTCTGCTATAATTCTTGTTTTGCAAATGCAAAATATTTCCCCATTGATGTAGATATATTAAGGAATAATTTGAGCTAAATACAAACGTTGTATTTCTTTATGTGTGATTTCATTTATGAGAAACAGTAGGTAAATGTAGAGATTGGCACCAGCTCTGTTGACTCACAAGGAAAACACAAAATGCGTGCACCCACACACATGCCGCAAACGTCTACCCCCTATCCAGTTCACCATGTGGATTATGAGTCACACCCATGTACATCTGTTGTTATAATTTTCTATCTCATTTCAGATAACCTTTCTTTTACCACTTCATAGTAACTCAAAACTGAAACTCTCCACACTAACTTCCATAAGCAAACTTTAATTTTTTAAGATAAAGTGTCATTATTTTGGAGTATTTATAGATTAGTAAACTATTCAACATGTGCAAATTTATACTACTGTTTTTATTAGATTCCTATTTGCATTATTTTTAATCTGTCATTGACAAAGTTTTTGAGTGTTGTGCTCCTAACACTATTTTCCCACAACCTCTGTTACTTTTATTGCACAATTTTTCACACAGGGTGGGGCAAAAGTAGTTTTACAGTTGTGAGTACATGAAACACAGAGTTTACTTTTTTATTATTCTTTGTTAATTATTGCATTATTTTCCATATGAACAACTATAAACCTGCTTTTGCCCCACTGTGTAGTGCAGTGCTTTCTGTAAGTGGATATGCCTGCCACGTTATCGTAGAACTGATTGTGTTCTCTACATGATAGACCAGTGAACTTTGGAGGCTGGTACTTTGCTTTGATGTGAGTCAATGAACGGTATTTGTTGGGAGAAAATTATCCATCTTCTGAGCAAAGACAAAAAGTGTCTTTCTTTCAGATGATCTTTTCAAGATGTTTGAGCAGAGAACCTTGGCACTTAGAAAAATGGTCTCCCTCTGGAGCAAGGGCAAGTTTGCTTACACTGTTGGGAGATACAGAAAGCATTCCCCCCCCCGTCCCCTCCCCCAGCCCCCCAGAGCAAGGAAGAGGCATGCTTACTGCCTGGTATAAAAGATTTAGGTCCCTAAACTCAGGATTTTCTTTCTGCAACCAATTGTTTACTGGACCCTCTTTTTATCACCCTGTGGGAATTGAGGCTTGGAGAATTAGTGCAAAAATGATAATTCTCTGGTTGCTGCTGCTGTTTTGAGTAATAAGTTTTCCTTTGTTTTTGACTCATTGGTTTCTGTCTCTTGTCAGCATCCATGAAACTGGCAGGTTAAGAGACTGATTTGCAAATACTAAGTGTCACAGACCCTTCACAGTTCTTGACAACACTCTGTAGGATGTTGGAGTTTGACAGGCGTCTTCATAAAAATATTATTCAGTATAGTTTAGGACCTTTTTGTCAAGATAACAACCATTAAACACTTTATTTTTCCACTTTAAAGGGTGACATATCTGATAACAGGAAATAAAGGGTGTGTTGGAGGCCTTCTGAACTAAGCACTTCTTCAGTGGTCAAAAAGTTGGGTGGGGAATATTTCTTGTTTTCATTTTACTTGACTCAGTGAATAACTCTGTGATCACATTACCTAAAATGAGAATTATTTAGGTTAATATACTTATGCTATATGTAATTGATTATTTTTGAAATTCTTAGAAATAACTTATCATTCATTGAAATGTAAATATTGCTGCTACAGTTCCCCTTATCTGATCAGGCAATGTGTACTGAGTTTCTATCCTATAGAAAGCACTGTGAGGGATACAAAAATAAATAAGTACTTTCTGTGCTTTCAGAAGTTGGCACTCTAGTACAGGAGATAAAACAAAAGGAAACATAAACTTTATGCAAGGCAGACAGTGTTAACTCCAACATGAGGGCAAATAAATAAAGGATTATGGGTATTCTGACTCGAAAGGGATGGGAGAAGACTTCAAGGAGAAGGTGGGATTTAATGAGGAAGGAGAGCACTTAAGAGAGAGAAAGTATGTGTGTGAAGGCTGGAAAGTTAATGGGCCACTGGAAGAAAAACCTGGAAGGAAGAATTCGGACTGAATTTCCAGTCCTAAAAGGTCAGGATGGTTATGGATACTAATTTCATTGATCTTAAGGCAGAAATGTTTAAAATTAGAAAACCTCTCTAACTCATTTAATAATCTATGGTGATTTTACAATTTTTGGAATTTTACCATTGCTCCAAGTGAGGTGGCAACCATTACATAGCTGTATAAAACTTTTTTTTTTTTTAAACTCTGATAAGATCAAGGAAAGTCCGAAAAATCCACTTTAGATCAACATGGGTATATTCATGTGGTTGCAGGAAGGTTAGAGCCTTAAAAATGTAACCTTTAGAATGTGGGGGCCAACCTTCTGGCTAACATGCTATTTAAAACCATACTTGTTGCCAAGTATTAAAGGACTACTTTTTGCTAGTTTAGTGTTTAGCATTAAATCATTATCATATTTAATTCTTGCAAAATTTCTGGGATAGGGGTCAGCTCCATTTTTTTGAAAAAGGAAAGGAGGGTTAAGAGAAGTTTTGTAAATAGTGTAAGGTCACAGAGGTAGCAACTAAAATTTGAAACTAGGTAGTTTGGGGATTTAAATCCATTAGTTACTCTCAGAAGTATCCTACTAATAACGCAAGCCCCGCGATAGCACATCTTTGCTTTCTCTCACACAGGAACGGTGAGCTTTCCCAGGCTCTAGGGCCCCGCGCTCTCCTGACACAGACAGGAGGCGATGGGGCTGTCAGAGAAAGCTTCTTTGAAAAAAATAAGTCTTGGACGTAAAGATTGATCATCTATTTTGATGTTCATTAAGATAAAAATATTTACTATTGTAGCTGTTTATGTTTATTAATATTTTTACATGTTAAGTAAAAATTTAACAGAGTTGATGTGGAGAGGTGCATAGCGAAGCTCCCAGGCCATTTGCCTGCTGAAAACTTACCCATCACATGACATTTCAGTGGCTTCTCTTTCTTTAATGATTATTGGTAAAGCAATTTCAAAGTTAGAACAAGTAGCTTTACAACTACTTTATTTTTTACATTATCTTTAATTAATGTATAAGAGAGTTGAGGCCCAGAGAGGTTGAACAATTGGCACAGTCACACAGCAAAGAGATGCAGAATACATGTTTCCTAAATATGCTTAAATATCCAATGCTAAGGGAGACACACATCATCACTCCTGTTACAGAACAAGTTTCGTCATGCACTGACACTTAATTCTTAAATTTTAACTGGAGTTCTAAGAAAGATCTGCTTTAATTGTACAAACCAACAACAGTCCATCTTTCAAATTCCTTTTTCCATTCCCTCTAGTGCTTAAAATATATTGTGCATTTGTTTTTCCATCATCACTTTTTGTTTTATATCAAAATCAACTGTGGAATTAGATTGTCTCAGACTGACCTTACAGGAAATCTTAGATTTCCAACTAGAACCTTTTTAACTTGAATGTAAGCTTTGCTAAAAAAAAAAAAAAAAAAAAAAAAAAAAAAAAAAGGTTTGAGTGTGATGTGAGATGACTTATTTTAGGTGTATCTAAAAGGAAAGAAGTTATCAAGAGGCAATGGAGTAAGAGCCCAGAGTGAAATGTGAGTTAAGATGTTGGATTAGAATGTTTCCAAGTGAGTGAAATGGCAAAAATAGGACAATGTGCTGTTAAGCACTTCAAATTTTATTTGTTAAAATATTCTTTTGAGATTAGGACTCTTTCAACTTTACCTCATAAATTTTATTCTCCTAGCTAGGTAATTTTGTTTTATGTTATACTCAACAGTAAAACCTTGAAATTTTCAACTTTACATGAAAAAAAATCAGACCATTAGAGCTACTTCTCGGTCTTTTCTCTGAATCTGACTTAATTTACTATGTTGGTTTGTCAGTTGGATAAAAAGGATTGGTTTGAGTGGTTATGGGCATTTAACAGTTTGTTCTGAGCTTGAACCATGTGTTATTTTCCTAACCTGCAAATTATGTGCCAGGTTAGCATATTCATTTGGGACATATTTGACATGAATAAATTAGGCCAATTTTAATTTTAGAGGAATCAAAATTTAGATGGCTTGACTAATAATCATCATAATTAGAACTAGTCATGATAGAGCCCATGATATGTGAGGGAAAATAGTATGACAGCATATGCATGGTGTGTTAGGCTGATTCATAATAGACCCAAAAATTCTGTCATAATTGATAAAACATTAAGCCTCTTTGATAGTACCGTTCCACTAAAAAATGTTCTAATATCATAATTAGATAAGCATTTTTTATGGGAACTAAAATATTGACAAGTATTTTAGTAAAATAACATCTCCTTGAGATGAATTGATCTGTATGAATTTGTTATATATATTTAATGGGGGAAAATGGGGATAGCTGTAACTGAACAACAGCAAAAAATTTTAAAAAATTAAAAATAAATAAAAATAAAATAGGGCCTAGAAATACTAACTAATAAATCATATATATACATATATATGTATATATGTACTTACTAAGGTACATATATACATATATATGTGTATGTATTTACTAAGGTAAAATATTTGCCCTAGTCAGTATCACTTTTTCAGTGTTGGCACAGGGCAAAATTAAGAAATTAAAATTTAAAATGTTATATAGACACTTAAATATAAATAAATATTATGTAATATTATATGATATATATGACATGATATGATCTGGCAATATTATTTCACACTTAAACTCCCTCTCATTTCATTTTTCCCATTTGGGAACCTAAATTTTAGAGCCTTTTTGGAACACAGACATGTCAAGAATGACTGACAGTGGTATGATTTGCATGAGGATTCAACGGGCACAGACTTTATGGCTGAACTGATGAGGAGGTTTTCAAAAGTAAATAACAATGATGGTTGTTCCTTCAACCCCTGCCATTTCTTCCCAGGGGCAGGGAAGTGACCATGAGCTGTTTGTTTTCTGACTTGGCCCCTGAGAACTTCCAGTTCCCCAAATGACCTAGAAAAACCTATTGTGTATCAAACTTACCTTTATTAGACTTATTATAGCAGCAAAGGGAAAATACCACCTTGACAGAATCTTAGGAATGCCTTAGAAGATGAAGGTCAGGAGAGAATACTTCTACTCTTTGGAGCATGGGCTGACTGATTTTTTTGGTATTTCAAGGTAGTGAACTATTTGGGAGAAGGCAGTATTTATAATAGTGTAATAGCCCTGGTTGGGTGGGTTCAGAGAGAGAAGGATTTTGAAGAGCACTGTTTTAGGTACTAAGTAAATATTCAACAATGAAATAAAACATCAAATAACCACTAAAACATGTTCATGAATATAATCAAAGTAATACACATTGGAGTATATAGTGAAGAACTGCTTGATGAATGAAGTGTTAGCTCTAATAAGTACTTGATTGTTAGGGATTTACAGTCTATCTTCCAGGAGCGGTTGTTTTCTGAAGCAAGCAGCTTAGCTATCTTTGCTTGTTCTCAGTGACATGTAACACAGTTAACGTGATACGGAGAGAAATTTCTGCCCAATGATCCAAGGAGTGTTTTAGTTCTATCTCTTTATTGGTCATTCTTCGATCTAAGCTGGAAGATAGGTGACTATCATCTGGGAACAGGATAGATCCAGATCTGAACCATTGCTTAATGTATAGAATTTCTGATGGTATTTGATCCAAATTCTGTAGTTGTCGAATTTTCTGGTTCTTTAGTGGGGATATTATTTATTGGATCATATGTTAGGACAGGGCCTGCGAAGCAGCATTGAAGGCCTTGTTGGCCATCACATGTTTGAGAACTGCTACAAAAAATACTAAGAGGGGAATTATGATCATCATTTGAAGCTCATTTCTAAGCCAGGAGCTCCCAAATTAAAACAAAGAACAGATCCCATTTCTAATCCAAACACTATGTATATTCCGATAAGGAATATGAGCAAGATAACCTTATTTCATGATTCTGCTGTTACCAACATTATTGGTAGTGTATCTGTGAGCTAGGGAGGGATGGAAATGCAGCAGTCTTTCCTTAAGACAGGACATATTCCATGGGGAGACCCCAGTCTTTAAAGTGGCTAGATTTTGAACTGCCACTGTGAAGCTTTCATGAACCTCTTGACATTTATGGTGGGCAGAATAAAGGCCCATCTCTTAATTCCTGGCACCGGTGAATACACTGTGTTATGCGGCAAAGGAGAACTAAGGCTGCAGATAGAATATAGGTTACTAATCAGCTGACTTTAAGATGAGGGATTTTTTTTTTTGATTACCCAGAAGGGCAGAATATAAGCATTAGGCTCATTTTAAGTCAAAGAGTGAAGCAGAAGAGTCCAAGGAGTGGTGACGGTGGATGCAGAGGTCAGAGTGATGGTATCGCTCGTTTTGAAAGTCAGAGGAGACCATGAGCCAATGACAGGCAGTATCTGGAGCTGGAAAAGGCCAGGAGATGCACCTTCCATTAGAGACATCAGCAGAATTGCATCCCCTCCGACATCTGGGATTTAGTCTAGTGTAGTGCATTTTGGACTTGTGAACTCAAGAGCTGTCAGATCATATATTTGTGTTGTTTCAAGCCACTAAGTTTGTGGTAATTTGT